TTCCTAGAAACATGTACGAAAATTTGTTTATATACTGAAATCTATTCAACGCAATTCATTTAAATTATTGAGTAAATAAGGCACGAGTAGTGTTTTATATTTATTTTTAAATTATAATTATTGCATACCACATTAACTACTTTAGAATATCTGAGATTTATGTTTAAAGAAATGCCTATCTATGTACTTAAGTATTTCTTAAAATTGGAAGGATTTTTCACGGTGTTTATTAAATAAATAATCTGTTTAACATACGATTAGTAAATGAATTTAACATCATAATTTTGAAAATATGAGTATAAATACAATATTTTGGAATTAAAAATTAATATTATTTTTTAAATAAATAAATATTCAACAATTAAACAATTTGTGTTATTAATTTTGAGTAAAATTTTATTTAGTTACAAAAAACTAGCTAAGCTTTATATTTTGTAAACTAAAATAAAAACTTTGTTTCATTTATAAAATTGTTAATTCAAAATTACTTCAATTGCAAATGCGTCTTTCAATATTAATTTAATTGTACCCATAATAAACCTTTTATTTCATCTTGCAATAATTATGCAAAATATATAATATCGAAAGTAATTAGTCACGCTTAAATTATAAATAAAAATTAATTATCACTTATTTTTCTCAATTTAATTTAAATTCTAATTGGAGTTTAATTCTACAATGAAATTTTTTTATTATATTGTATAATAAATGAATTTATAATTGTAAATTCGATTGAATTAATTAATAATTCTCCTTATACATTCTTTTTTCAATATATCTACGTACTATATACATACATAAGTTGTCTGTGTTTAAACGAATTGCTAAAATTCTAGAATATCATAAAATTTTAAATCTTTGCGTTCTATTTTAATTAAAATGATTAGTAAAAAAATTAATTGAATCTGAAATAAAAGATTCTAATAAAATTTTAATTTGCCATATGGAATAAATTTCATACAAAAACTGAAGAGATTGCACACACAAGGGAGTAGAAAGGTAGGATCCTACCACAGTACATAAGATAATTAGATTTTGAATCAATTTTTGCAACATGAACATCAAATTCTATGAGTTCCGAATACAGTTTATTGTGTCGCATATTTTTAAGAGGTACATACGGAGAAATTATAAGGAGCATAGAAAAGTTGCGCTCAGTGCTAATTATATTTTAATCACTTTTCAATTTTAATCACTATGCAAAGCACATATCTTGCTTAACTACTTGCCTACCTAAGTAGTTCTTAGATTTTCTAAATTAAGGTTTAGATTCGCCCAAACACTCATGTTAGTTACGAATTGCTGTCAATTTTGTTTGCAAATCTTACAATATTAACAAATTAAATTATGAATTATAAAAATTTCATTAAAAATATGAAAATTTAGTCAAAAAATTTGATATGTGTACATATTTACATACATACATAATGTAAGTTAAAAAAATGCATAAGTTAAGGGTTTATGTACTTACCAAATACACCGTATACATACATACTTGCAACAGTAAATACATACTGTACATTGATTTAATATTCATTTAATATTGCATTTTTATACTTAATTCTTGAAATTTAAGTGACAGCATTTTATATTGTATCGTACTGGCTGCTGCTTCCTCCAAGTTAATTTGCAGTTTACATTCACAAACAGTTCGTATACATATAAAAATCCAATATTTAGACCGAATTTTTTGGATGGAAAGAACATTCAAATATTAAAATTTTGTAAAATTCACCAGATCAGCTAATTTTCATATTATTTTCCAATTCAATTCGTATGAATTCTTAATTAATGGTATTATTTTGTAACATCGGAATGGATTAATAGAGCAAAAACGTTTCATAAAAATTTGTGCTTGTTGTTACATACATACATACGTACATATATATATACATAGATGTGCATACAAGCGTAAGCAAATAAGAAATTCACAGTTATTCAATTCTTGGTCTATTTGGCTTCCATTTTAATAATTACTAACGTCCATTTTTACTTTTCAAATTATTCTTCAATCTTTAAATTTATTCATATACACATTTTCAAATAATATTCTAAAATCATGGCTATCTTAATAATAAATTTTTGATCAAAGCAAATTATTGCACCTTCGTTTTTTCAATAAAAATTTTATAGAGTTCTCCTGACACACATTTTTTAATAGAATTCATTATCTCGTGCTTCATCCATATACATGACACCAAAGTTATATGTAAATTAAATACTATTAAAGTACTTTAACCTTTTTTAAATTACTATTCTTAAAATAATTTTTTATTAAATTTTATTTCACTTATTTGTTGTACCTTTGTTATTGGAAATCGAATTAAAAAATGCGCAAACATCCAATAATGTACGTGATAAAACTTCTTACTTGAAGCGTCATTCGAATGTCACCATTATGTTAGTATAGTAGTGTTCTTATTGATTACGGTACGTGTACGTTTTATTAAACTTTATACTAAATTAACAGCAATTTTTATAATTAAATATAATAATTTTTGATTTTCGGGAACAGCGTTTTTATAAAAAACATATTGAAATTAAGTTCGACATTTAAAACAACAATAATTTATTAAACAATCAAGAAAGTGTCATTTTGTCATCTGTCAAATAAGGAATTCAAAGATTAAAGTTGAATGAACCAATATGAAATTTATTAATCATTAATTCGTCGCTTCGGTGCAGAATTATAAAATTTTGTGTAAAATTCACATTCACTTTATTTTTAGTATAGCTACTTCGATTTTAAATAGCTCATTTTAAATACAACAAACTAAATAATTCCCCTTAATTGCCAAATTATTTTTCTTGATGTTATTGGAACGTACATATGTACATATTTCAAAATTATATGTATCTTTCTGAGACGCAAACTTTAAATCAATTCAAGTACAGGTACCTATGTTGAAATAAATATTTAAAGCATTAAAAAAGCTATTTAAAACTTTAAAAATATTAATTTTAATCAGTCATAGATTGTTTTAAGTTTAACGATTAGAGGTTTATTGTTTTTGCAGCAAACATGAATACTGACACAGATTTACGTAGCTCTGTTTATATAAGTTTTTAAAATTTTGAATATTTGTATAGTGGTTCGGTTTTATTTTGTTATGCTAATAAAATTTAAAATGATTATAATATTATGTTAGAACATATATTGTGATGACTATTTAAAAACAGGTATATTAATCGTAATTCTAGATCGATAGCAACAATAAAATATACTTACGTAATTTAAATCGACTTTGAACTTTTAAAATGAGACATTGGCTATAATATATAAGCATATATTTAATTAAAAACAAAATTGTATTCAAATAAATATGTGCGGTTTAACAAAAAAGATGTATAATATCTAAATTATTTAAATGAACAACTCTAATAAGGCATTTTTATTCAAAATTAAATTCAAACGACATTCAGTACGGTAGAGGCAAAAATTATTACGTCAATTGAAATTCTAAAAAGGTTTATAATAACGTAAAACGTATTCAATACGTGAAGTAAATGTAAGAAACCATTCACTTAGAAAAAGTTTACACCGAAAATAGACATATGACGTAGAGTATAGACGTCTATGACATTGAAGGACATGTGCCAAAATATATGACGATCACAAAGCTTCTCTACGTAAAATAAAAACAGCTGAGTGTCAATTTTGTATATAAATACCTTGATGCATATAAATACCTTGTATATAATACCTTGATAATAACGCCAGTTTACAAATTTAATCAATCTATAAGGAAAACAAACATTAGATCCAGTTTTCACTTTTAATAATAAGTCCGAAAACTAGATGGTGTTTGTGTTGTATGATTGACCAATACTCAACTGACAATTTGCTTTTGATATTTAATTTTAAAAATTAAAGTATTTGAGAGCATAATTGAAACTGCTAGTTTTGTTTTTATAACATTTAAAAAGATATACTCGGTTTTTGGATAGACTTGAAAACCCAAATTAGCAAAAAAAATGGAAATTATGCCAAGGAGATCAAAAGAGTTTTTTTGCCGTGCAAGCACACTTGCGAAACCCTAAAAAAATTGTCCAACAGAATTCAGATTATAGAAGAAAAATAGACTTGTTACAGGCCACCTACTATAAGGTATGTTATTTAAATAAAGATTCTCCAAGAGCATATACAATTCTTTAAATAATTTAAATTTAATAGAATTTACATAGAATGTATTGAAACAAGATCTTGTTCATTTACAGATCTTTTTTATCACTCTTTTTTTAATATTTTGCATACTAACATTAATGAATCAAATCAATTGACAATTTTTCGCCAAGAATACTCTCAAAGTAATTTTCATTTTAAGATATAAAAAAAAAAACGAAATTTAACCGCTTTATCCACAGTTTTATAAATGTTATATTAGTCCTTGAGCATCATATCAGGTTTTCAATTCGTTTCAACTTAAGCTACAAGATGCTAAATTTAATTTAAAACCCATAAATCATATTATAGAACCAAAGAACAATTTCATCTTTCAAATTGCAATTTCCAAAAGGAATTCTACCACTTTTAAATGACAAATAACGAAATTGCGAATACTGATAAACTCAAATTCTATATATTAAAATGGTTCTTGACCAAAAAAAAAAATTACTTCAAATAAAATTTTCCGATAATTTTGGCTTTTTGTTAAATACATGTATTCATGTATACATAATCTAGAGGGAATGAATGCTAAACAAAAAAACTCTAAATATAACTAAAAAATACAGAGAAAAAACTGATTAAATTTGCAAAACAATATTTTTACATATGCATAGTTAAAAACAAAGGAAAATTTTTTTATTTTGGAAAGATATTAAAAGGAAATTAATGATAAAATATTAGATTACTACGGAATATATGCCAATGACCGTACGAGTATATAAAAGAAACTGCGAATTTTGTTTTTATTTTTGATAAACAATATCACAATTAAAAGTTTAAATATGATGTTAATATTATATACCTATATGTAAATTTCATTTATTTATTTTAGATGTTTAAATGCTGAGTTTAGAACTTCAATAATTCCTGTGGGTACTTATGTAAGTTCATATTTACATGTTTCTAAAAATTGATATTTTTTCCATGTTTACATTGCAATTGTCACACCTTAGATTCTGGAGAATTAGTACTTGAATCAATATGCTACATTCTAAGTCTAAACATGTGTAAGCGGCCCTCTTATTTTCATTCTATAAAAACTAATGAAACCGAAAACTTTTGAATATCTTGAAATGTATATTTTCCTACAATGAAATGCATGATTTTTCAAATGTAAGATGTTTTTTTCTGCAAATTATCAATGATAATCTTTATTAAAAACCTTTACTATTTCAATAATTGTTTTTAAAAACATTCGTCCATTTCCAGAAATTCCATTACCTTATTCCTTCTAACATATTAAATGCGACTCTAATATACTTTCTATTAAATATTTTGCCTCTTATAAAAATTATATAATATGAAATAGAAATGAAAGTAAAAAATTAGAAATTATTTCTATTTGCTATTCATTTAAATATTTGATATTTAAAATTTCTTAATAAAATTAAACTAACATGCTAGCGTACTTTCAAATTTAAGTACAAAGTTCATATAACACTTTTATTTTTTTTTTTAAATAAACTTCATACAAAATAATAATAAATACAAATAATAAATATCAGACATAATGTGTTATTGTGATTCATTGAACAGAAAAAAAAAAAAAGAAACAGAAATCAGGTTTTCGGTTTTTGGGATTTTTCCTTTTTAATTCGAGTAAGTGTAAAAAGTAAAAAAACACAATAAATTAAATATTTATCACTACAGGGCTCTTCCAATTGTCCAAATAATAGGAGCTTGTGGACTATAAATGATATCTAGTTATTATTTTAGATTTTTTGTTCATTTATTAAAGAGCTTATAATATCTAGTTATCAAACATTAATAATTTTCCATTGCTTTGAGCTAAAAATATAGAAAAAAAAAATAATTACTCGTATGTTAAAAAGTGTTAATAATTACAATTTTTTTGTTGAATAAAATATTTTATATGAATATGAAAGTGTGCACAGCATTTAATTTAAATATATATTTTTTTAATTTTATAAAATATATGATTGTCTATATAAATATAATTTGTAATATGGTTTCCAAATATTTTAATATAATGCAAGAAATTGAAAACAGATCAAAAATTAAAAAGATAAAAACGAAATTAATGAAAACAATAGATAAATATGGAAATTTGAAATATACTTAGCAATAGCATGTAAGATATTTCAAAGTCTCTGATATTTTTCAGATATAGACCGTAAAAATGTATTTCGGTCATATTAATCACAATTAATCTTAAAAAATGTATTTATTAAAGAAATATATTTAAAGCTTAAAAAATGTATTTATGTTGCATAATTTAGCAAAAAATCATGCTAAGCAAAATTTAAATCACAAATTTGGAGCTAAGCTATTTTTAAGCAAATTTTTTTATTAGTCTAATACTTTAGTATTCTGTTACTACTATTCTATCATCATGATTATATTAAAATATGAGCAAAACTGCATTATTTCAAACTTTATACAGCAAAAAAAAATTAATTATTTATTTTAGCACATTTGAATTAATTTTCAGAAATATTTTTCATATATTGAACCAAGATTTTTTTTTATATCGCTTAAAACAAATATTTTATTTATAAATCTTAATATAAGATTTTCACTTATCATCCATTGGGCACAATAGATACTGCACATATAGATAATTTTGAAATATTTTATTTACTAAATAATAAAAATATTACGCCCATTTTTTTTTTTTGCTTTAATATTAGTTATTAGCAAATATTTATTGAAATAATTCACAACTATTAGAGAATTTTTTATTTGTGAAAAAGTTATTGTAACAATTCAATTCAATTTGCAAATTTAGTTTTCTGATTTTTTTAAAGTTTCTCTTAGTAAGAAAATTTTGTTTTTTATGTAAATATTTTGTGGTACAAGAATAAATTCAAATTTTATGTAAAAGATGTGAAAATTTATGAACCACTAGCAAATGAGATTAAAAATAATTATGAAACTGAGAAAAATGTTTAACCTACTTTTACGGGGTCAACACCACAATACCGTAATTTGGTTTATATTTCTTTGGTAGCAAAATATTTTTTAAATAAAATTAATATAATTTTATAATAGTTGTGTGGGTGTTAAATCATGTCAGAAATTCGTTTGATTATAAAATAATAAATTTTATTTTAATTATTTTTTGATATTGGTAAATCTAAAAAATTTATTATATGAAAATCAGAAACCGTATATATATATGTATTACAATAATTGTAAACTGAATCTCCGAGTAGAACATGATTTTTGCACTCATTTACTATTTCAGATATTATTTTAAATAAACTTACTAATTTTAATTTTTTTGCAGACTTGTGAAGCGTAAATTTTAAGGAGAAAGTAAAGAAGTTAGTTACTTGATATTTTGGCTCAATTTTCCAAAATAAACGTAAATTTAATAATATTAGTAATTTTTTATCATATACATTTATGTCTTTCTAATTTTGTAGGTAATTTTGATACAACAGAAAAAAAAACACGTGTTAAAGAGAATTTGCAATTTTTTCTAATCAAATTTAAAATTCAAATTATAAGAATTCAACCAATATCGATTATCTCTAATTAGGTATAATAATTTCAAAAGATTTAATAAATTATTCTAATATTTTAAATTATTTATTTTTTTTTAGTAAAATTTTCATTTTAAAATCAAGTTTCATACCGGAAATCCCTTATACACATGATTATATTCTTAAACTTATACTATATTAAATTTTGTATAAATGGGTGAATAATAAAATAGACAATTTTAAAAAACTAAATTTAAATCTAAATTTAAGAAAGAAAAAAAAAATACTAAACATAAGTTATTTTTTATACAATACCATAAGTTGAATTGGAAATTTTTATCAAGTCTATAAAACTTATCGTATAAAATTAATATTGATAAAAATTATTAAATAAAAATGAGTTACCATGGTCCATTTAATCTTATAACAGATATTTTATACCATATAAGGTACAGACTATAAGACTTTTACTTTTTAGAGAAAAAAAAAAATACCAAAGGTTAAAAATTAAAATAAAAAATTTTAAATTTCAACCTTGAATTTGCATCTTGACTTTTAAGTTTGCGGTATTGGGTTTTTTAAACTCTTATATTCTTTTAAACAATAACTTTTTATCTTTTTGTATTAATATACAAAAAAAACTGTAGGGAATAAGAAATTTTATAATATTTGTATTATAAATTGTAACCGGTTTTTATTTATTGTATATTTTCTGTAATATTAATTTTTTTTTAAGAGATACACAAGTCTAGTTAAGTTATTTATAGTTTACAATTTTCATGGTTGTTTTTTTTTTAACATTTCTGAATTTTGAAGCATCAATATTGTAAATTTTATGCGTATTGATTGTTGATCAATAAAAAAGTGTTAAATTACTTCCCTATAGCGGCAATTGAATTTTATTTTATTGACATTATAAAATATTTTTTTTGGTTTTTAGTTATATTTTTTTCGAAATTCTCTTATAATTTATTTAAAATAACTTATGTATATGTTGAGATACTGAATACAAATTAAGATATATGTAGTATGAGAGTAGTAGCATTGAATGGAGCAACATGTATTTAAATATATTCTTCATAGGGTTAATGGAAAAAATTTAATTTTAAATTCTTAATCTTAATATAGTAATTTAATTAAATTGAACCGCTTTAATATTTCTTGAACAAGCTGTTCTTAATGAAAGTACCATTACATTCGCCTTACAATTTTAATATTAGTTCATTTTCAGTTATACTGTACTACGCTGACAATCAAAACCGATTCTACATTAAAAGTTACTTTCATTCAAATCTATTACATGATCTCAATCAAATATTTTCACTTTTTATACAATTTGCATTTTATAAATTTTATAAATAAATATTATTTTAATAGAAATGCGTATATATGAATAAATAATTTTAATCTATATTATTAGCTCTTTGTTATAATAAAAAATTTTAATTTGGAAAGTTTACGTATAATTTTTTAAATAAAAGGCAAAGATTCATAAAAAATAAAACAAAGAATATTGTTGTCGTTGAAAAATTAAATTTGATTCACAATAGCTAATTTGTTGTGTACACAATGCACATACTTTTAGAAAATATTCATAAATTTATGATTAATAATATGTAAGAAATTCAAAATTTATAGAAATATTAATTAAAATAAATAAAATATACATGAGTATGTCGTATATTTTATTTATTTTAATGAAATTTAATAATTTTTTATATTCGTATCAGTGCAATCATAAAGCAACAGAATTCAGAATTAGGTGATATTACGGTTTTAAAATCAAATTTTGGATTTCTAACATATTAAAGTTCTAGATGTGAACAGTTCCAGTTTATTCTTCTCAATATATTTAATCCAATGTGGGAATAGTTTTAGATGATATACTTCACCTGTTCTATAAGTAATTGCAAATAAAATACTAATTCACTTCACTTAAAAACACCTGTAAATTCCAATTAAAATTAATTTTTTTTATATTTTTTCATATACACAAGTAAAGCAAAACGCATATTTTTATATAAATAATTGAAAATTCAAAATTAATTTAATCGAATTTGTACTTTTTAAATTCAATAATATTAAATTAATTTCCAATATTTTATGTTTGCTCATATTATATATCTAAGAAAATTTAAATAAAAATTAACATAGTTATAGTAAATTGAATATTTATGCACAATATATTTTGTATAAATAAATAAAACGGTAAAAATAAGCGGTCATGTTAATTTTTCATTTTATTTTCATTGTAATTGTCTAAGTATAATTGCCATTCGTCATTATAATATTTTTGAAAATTGCCTCTCTTTTTCTTTTGTAATTTGCATGCCCATCATTCCTCGATCATCAACATTATTAAATATATTTTGTTCATTGACCTCTATTAGTCAAAAAATGAGATGCGTTTTTTTTCACTTTTGCTAACTGATTTCTGTTTAAATTAAATTAACCCTGAGTTGTTATTAGTGTGTGTATACTGTTATAACGAGGTCGAATTTAAGATCAATTAATTTTCAATCAATCTATAATATAAATAATGTATGTACTTGATTTGAATGATTTTAAAATAATATTAATATTGTGAATATGAATAGAATTGTATAAATGTTATGTGCATGGGGAATGGTTTGTGCCTGTCAACAAAAAATATTTTAAGTTAATAAATTTTAAAATGCGCAACGGAATTGAATTTTAACACGATTCCATAAATTATTGTTTATAAAAATGATAAAAATTTAACGTAAAATAGAAATTTTAAATAAAGTGTTATACTAGTAATAAACCGAAAAATATGCATAATATTTTTTTTTGTATTTTAGTAAAATTCAAGTTAAACTAAAGAGTATCTAAGCAGTAGAGCATCATGAGTATAATCTTCAAAAAAACAAATCAATACAAATAGATCTAAACTGTTATACAAATTTAAATTATAATTACATCCATAATTTTATACATATTCCACTGCTATAACAGTATTTAAATAATGGAATACGTAATTTTCTAAATTATAACTTTTTTTTATTAATTTTGATGCTAATTCAAATTTAAATGCCTTACTAAAAGAAATTATTAAAATCAGCTATAAAACGTATATAAATTATGTATAACAGTTAGGTTTCATTTAAATTTTGTAATTATATTAGAAAGTAACATATAGCTAATCTGTCTATATTTAAAAATGAAATATTATAATATTTTCATAAATATACGAATTTTTAAATATGTATAATACTTTTCATAATTTTGTGTTATAAACGAATTAAACTATTTTGAAATACTATTGTATAATAATTATAAATAAACAATGTATGTATATAAAGTGTATATGAGTTCTCCACTACACAAGTCAAAAAAATAGACATGAACACTAACTGTAGACTACGTATAACAGTTTTCAAACAGACTAAACATTTTTTATTAAATTATAAAAATGAAGTTCAATGAAGTACGTACTACAAATGTCATATTTTGTACCGGAAATCTAAGGTAATAATTAAAAATGAACTTGATAACCAAATCTAATATTACGTGTATCTTATACAAGTATGTGTACTAAACATTGATTCACATGTGAATGGACAATATAAGTTAATTTGTAAATTCAAGGTACTCGTTCTAAATCGATTGATTTCATCGAAATTCATTAATTTTTCTTATTTGATTTGTACTTGAACACTATTTCTTTTTTTGAACTTCGCATTTCCGTTGAACTCAATAAAAAAAATCAAAGTCTTACCCACAACACATAATAAATAATTGTTGCTTATTGATTGAAGCTTTGCAAAAAAAAAAAAAATTAGAGTTATCGGTATTTTTTTTTCTTTTCTCTTGCCTCCCTTTTTTTTCAATTTTGTTTTCTATATTTTCACCTTCATTTTTGTAGTCTCATTAATCTTTAGCGTAAAAATTTGATTTTGATCAATTTTAATATAAGTATAAAAAATTAAATAAAACAAATGTTGTGATTTTAAAATTAATTAAAATTGAAAATAAAAAAAAAAAAGAAAAAATTGAAACTGTAATGAGAAAATAATTCAAATGTCAAAATATTTTTGAGATCGAGGTTATATCCAAATATACAGTTGATTAGTACAGAACCAGCGCCATATAGTGTGCGAATCTTTTACTTACTTTATTTACTTATAAACTGTTTTTCTCTTGTCAAATTCTTTTGTTACCCATAATCTGCGCGTATTTTTAATATTTTCGAATTTTATAATTTTACTCGGTCAAGGAAAATTTTTTAGTGTAAAACCGGTTTTGTATTTTTCTTGTTTTCGTTTCTTTTTATTATTTTTATTATTTTCTTATTGTTATCATGGTTATTATTATTCTATTTATGACTTTTATTTTTCTTTTTTTTTTTTTTATTTCCGATTTTTATTATAATAAGGGTATGGTGGGTATCATTAACAACTTATATGGGAGTTTTTTTATGATATTTTTAAGAGTTATTGATATTTTACTGAACTTGTGATTTTTTTATTATTTTTTCTCTCTTTTTTTTTCTTTCTTTTTTTATTTAAGTTTGCTTTCTTCTTGTCTTTATCAGACGACGACGATGATTACTTCCTAGATTGTGATTTGTTAATTTTAAGTAAAGAAGCTTTTTGAAGAAAAAAGAGACTTTATGAATTTTTATGATATTCAAAATTAGTTTAGTTTTAAATCGCAGTTTGTAGTGAATAGACGTGTTTAAAAACGAAAAAAAATTTGCGTGATTTTATAAAATTTAAAAATATAAATTTAATAAATTTGTAAGTTTCTTAATTTTAAAAATATAAATAATAAATTTTTTTAATTAAATTTTTAATAAAATTTTTAATTAGTTTAATATAGTGGTAGATAAAAACTGTTATACATCAATATTTTAAAAATTTTATTATAAATAATAAATAAAAATCAATTTTTTTCTAATTAAATTTTTAATAAAATTTTTAATTAATTTTATATGCCTCGTGCATGATAAAAACTGTTATACAAAAATTTTAAAATTAAAAAAATTAAATTGAAATTTATTTGAAAAAAAAATTTTTAATATTTTTCGAAAAAATTAAAACGTGTTAATTAAAATGAAATTTATTGTTTTATAACTTAATACCGTTATTAAGCCGTTAGTGTGCAAGAATTGTTTTTTTGTTTGCTTTCACGATTAATAAATAAAAATTCAAAATAAATTTTATATGCTAATAGAGATGCCAATATACAATATATGCTAATTTAATGCCAATACACACAATAAGGTAGCACTTCAAAGTGCAAAATTTGACGCATGCAAAAAATACGGGTGCGCTTGTGGGTTAATAAATGTCATCGTATACAATAAAACTGCATTTTCTATTTTTGCAGTATTGCTGCCTGCCATATTTTACTGATTTTGACAGTATCATTTAGTTTTTTTTTTTTTAATTGTATGGTTGGCTGCAGCCATATTGTCTTTTATAAAGCGATGAAATAGCATTTTTGTAATTATCATATTTTGCATTTTTGAAGTGCGGCCCAATTGTGTTTAGTGCATAAGGGAATGTCAGAATTTTGTCTGACGTTTTTCTTTTTTTTTTTTCTGTCTTAGTCGCAAAAATTTAAAAATTTTTTTTGGAAATCAATAATTTGGATATTATTGATGATTTTATTGATATTTTTTTTTAACAACTTATCAAAATTTTAATAAACTGGTTTCAATAATTTAATAAACGTGGAAACACAAAGATTAGTTTTTTGTTTTCGTTTGTTATTCATAATTAAAACGGATGGTAACAAAATTTCTGACATAATTTCGATTGAATAAATAATTTATTAAAAATCATGTTGAAACAAGATCATTTGGTTTTGTTTTTTAATTTACTAAGAAAATTTTGAATAAAGACAACGCCTTAGTTTTAGTTTCTTGTACTGGTATATTAAGCTAGTTTAAAATTTCCAAATCAAATTTATGATTGAACAATACAACTAGTGATTTTCTTAGCAAATAGAAATTTTAGTTTTCATTTCGACAGAGTGCAAAAATTATTTTAACTGCAATTTTAATATTTTTAATTTATACAGAGTTCTACTCATAAGGTTGCAAATAATTTGAGTGACAGTTTTTTGATAAATTTCCAGCAAAAAATTGTATGGTTGAATGGGGCAGGGCAGGGAAAGGTATGCAGATATACTGGTTTCCAAACTACAAACTCTTGAAAAAAAAGTTACCAAATTATTCCTGCATATAAATAAATGGTTACAAAATTCGGAACCATGCGACATAGAACAACCGACGGGAGCTTGTTTTACACGCGATCGGTTGCTCTTTACTTCTGGTTTGAATCAGTTTGTTCTGAGCCATAGTTTTCGAGATTAAGCTCGTCAAATTAGGATTTTTTTTTTTAAAAGCTGAAAATTTCTCGAAAACTTTTTATTAATTTTTTTTAATTTTACACTACAATGATAACTAAAAGTTAATTCATATAACATTTTCCTCTGTCTCTCATAGTTTTGCCATTAAAGCGTGTTAAATGTGTTTCCCTAAAATTTTTTGCCACCTTATGCGAAACACCCTGTATGCTATGAAAACTACCGTCATGAAATAATAGAAAAACAAAATTATTTTGTTTATTACAAAAAGTTCTTATTTTTTTGCGCTAACCATAAAATTAAAGGCCTTTATCTAGGCATAGTTTTTTTTTTTATTCTCCAGTATGAAATAAACGGATATTATAATTTCCATATCATATGTCATTTCCTTTTTTCTCAAAAGAATGACAAGTTCAGTTGATATTTTAAAAATATTATTGAGAAAAAAACGACATTTGAATTCTAATTAAGAGAATGACAATATTGACAAAACTAATTGAGAAAATCATTGCTCGGGTCGTATAAATTAAAAAAATTACTCGAAAAAGTGAGATAATGCGTCACTTTTTCGAGTCTCACTTGATTAATCGAAAAAAATTATTTCACTCGGATTAAAACTATTAATTATTAATTATACTAATTCCTCGCTTAAAGTCGAATTATATGACAATTAACCAAGCATTAATTCCACAATTCGTTTAATTAAATTTTTAATTATGGCTTAGAAAAGTTGTAAAATTACAATAAAAATTTATTGAAAGGGAAAAGTGTTACAATTTAAAAAAAGCACAAAATCTTATTGTACAGCTGAAATCATAACAAAATTTTAATAATTGTTTCAATTAAAACTTGTCTCGTGAATTTGATAAATGAAACATTTTACATCTCGTGAATTTATCAAAATTGTTTCTAGGTCTAAAATTAGATTTTCAATTATTGAAATCTATACACAATTGATATTGATTACAATCTATATAAGCGTTTTATAACTATAAAAATATCAATTATCAATTTATATTGCAATTTATTAACACATTTTTTTTTCTTTTCATTCTCACAATAATTGATTTAGAAGTTCACATTTTATTTGTTTTTAATTTAAAATAAATTTTTTAGTTATTGAATGTAAATTTTATATATTGGCAAAATTTTCATATAAAGTGGGAATAAAATAGAATTGATCGTGTCAACTTTGTGATACCCGTACGAATTTGTTACCCTATGTGCGAATAAATATGCCATAGCTGACTATATGGCATAGACTATGACTTTAAATTGCAATATTACCATATTAATTTATGCCAAATTTCAGTACTGTATTTTCAATATTTTCTAAGAAATGTCCAAATTACTATTGAAACTGTATGGCGGCTGCCACAACGAGTCTTAAAAATTTCAACGATTTTTATCACACATAACAGCCTCAATTATACACTTGTTTTGACGAAATTTCTATATTATAGCTCCAATAATTCCTGAAATAATACCAAATAACTTTTGGATTTGTATGAGCTATATATAACAAGTGCTCATGAGATCTCAACAACTTTTAATGAATATAGTTGCCGCATTTTACCGTATTTTATTTTGCAAAAATTTTTTTACTGATAGGTTGAACAGTTTTTAAGGTATAGCCTAAATAACTTATCAAGTTGTATGGCAGGTACTAGATGGAGTTAAACAATTTCAATAGCTTTTGTATAACATAATGGTTCTAATAATATATTCGCTTGTACGAAATTTCAATACTATAGCTTCTATAATTTCTAAGATATAGCCAACAAAATTTTGAAGTTATATAGCAGCTACCCGAACCAGTAGCTCAATTATGTCCAATTTAAATAAGGTTTTGGTATTTACTATAATAAGTCATTTATGAAAATTTGGTGAACTTAGCTCAATTAGCTTTTTATTAAGAGTTATCGTACAGACGGACATACCAAGCTAAATTGACTCAGAAATTTAATTAAATAAATTAAATTTAATAAAATTTTATTTTAATTATTTTATTATTTTTATTTCTTTTCAGAAAAATAGTAATTTAAAACAAAATGTCTAAAAAATATATTGAAGATTATAAACCATGTGTTAAATTTGATGAAAAACAATTACCATATATGGAATTAGGTGATGGTTCTGTTGTAAGATTAGAACGTTATGTTGAACCAGATGAAAAAACTAAAGAAAAAGCAAAACGTGAATTAAGAGAAACCGATGATGTTAAAGAGAAAGCAATGAATGAATTAAGAGCATTAATTGCAAGTAAGTATAATTTCATTTTGTTCCATTAATAAAATAAATAAATATTTTTTCTAAGAACGTATTTAATTAAAATACAAAAATATATTTCTATTTTAGAGGAAAATGGTTTACATTTACCAACTGATGAAGAATATATGGTTATGTTTTTACGACCATGTAAATTTTATCCGGATTCTTGTATGAAAAGGGTAAGTAGTAATCATAAAATAATAAATAATAAAATTTTTTAATGTTAATTTCTTCTTTTTTTTTAAATAATTTAAGATTAAAAATTTTTATAATCTTAAATATAAATATGGAATTGTATGCGATGAAATTACACCAAATAATTGTAGACAAGTATTTGAAAAAGAATTAATTTCTTTGATACCATATCGTGATCCAGAAGGTCGTAGAGTTATGTTTATTGAAGCTGGAAGTAAATATATAAAAAAATTTTTTAAATTTATATAAAAATTATTGAAATTAATTTATAAAATTTTTAAGAAAAATGGAAACCATCACAAGTACCATTAGAAGAAATATTTAAAGCAGTACAATTATTAGTATTAGCATCAATGGCTGAACCGATGACACAAATAAATGGTGCTGTTGTTGTTATTGATATGTTAGATTTACCATTAAGTCATGTTGTACAATTTACACCACATTTTGCCGCAATGATATTAGAATATGTACAAGATTGTATATTAATGAGATTAAAAGCTGTTCATATTGTTAATAATTCATATATATTTAATATGATATTTGCTATATTTAAACCATTTATTAGAGAAAAATTAAGGAAAAGAGTAAGTTTTTTTTTCAAAAATTAATGGTAATCTATATGTAGAAAATAAAATATTATATTCTATATTATTTTAATTTATTCTACTTAATTTTCTTTTATTTTAGATTTTCTTTCATGGTAAAGATATGAAATCATTCCATAAACATATACCACGTGATATTTTACCACCAAAATATGATGGTACTTTTGATGTTCCATTACCACCTGGTAAAATTGCTGCTGAAATGTTTGATGCATACAAAAAAGAATTTGATCGTAAGTTTAAATATTAATTACAATTTAAAATTGTAATTAAAATTAATTGAGTTGAATAGTAGTTTAAATCCACTTAAGATCCACTTAAGTCTTCTTCTTGAAATTCTTAAAAATATGGGGAATAAATAAAATTAAATGAACTTTATATACCATATTTTTAAAAGAAGCAACTCAGTTATTTTATAATAAAATACAAAATTAATTAATCAATTTTAAAATTTTTAAAATTAAATATTGTTATTAATTATTTAATTATTAAATTTAATATTTTTTTTATATATAATATTACTCTTTTTAGTTATAAACACATATGGTTATGCTGAAGACAGAAAAAAATTGAAAAGCTAATAAAATTTAAACGGAAGAACGATTAGAACAAACAAAAACAAAAAAAACTCGTACTTATTTTATTGTAATTAATTATTTTTTAAATATTTGTATTTTTAAAATCAATTTAAATAATATTGTTATATAAAAAAAAATATTCACTTACTTGCCAAAATTAAATTAAAAACAAAAACAAAAAAAAAAACTTTGAAACATTCTTACATTTGATGAAATTTCTCAAAAATTGAAATATGTGATCTTAAATAATTTGAAACAAAAAAACAAATGCATAATTTTAAAATTTCTTATTAGAAAATAAAAAAATATTTCTCTTCTTATATGAACTGGTTTTTTTTGAAAGTGGTATAAGTCCATTTCTTTATGTATTCAGATATTAATCGGCTTGCGTTTGAATTTAAAAATTCTGGCCATAATAACATAATTTGTTAGTTTTATGTTTACATAGAACTGAGAGAAGTTGTCTATAACTCACTAAAATTACCATTAACTTAGCCTTTTTAAAAAGTGGACTTATACCACTTTCAAAAAAAAACCAGTTCATATATTATTATAATATTATATAATATTGTATATATAAATATTTTCTAATTTATATATATATTTTTTTTTTCCTGGTACTGATTGTCATTATTATATTTAATTTTGTTTTTTTTTTCTATTTACTATAATTTAATATTTAATTTACTTATGTATATATAATTGTGTTTTGTCTCTTTGGTGAAGTTGTATATAATAAAATTATTATATAAAAACAATTTTTTTTTTTTTAAAGTAATAATATGTATATGTATTTATTATTATAAACAATTTGAATTTATGAAATATTGTACAAATGTTTAGGATTTTTTGCAATTTAATTTATTAATTTGGAGAAAATTATGGTTAAAAATATGTTAAGAATTTTGTAATGATGTTATATAATAGAGCTTATTGTGAGTACTTAAAAAACTTTTATACACGAATAATTTATGTGAATATTGTTATACAATAACAAATATATTTTGTTTACAATAATAATATGGAACTTTTTATAAAAATATTATCACTATCACTTAGTGATTTAATACTCAAAATAAGCTCCAATTTTTCAAATTCAATTCAAAAATTTTATATTTAAAATGTTTGAAACTCCCATATTACTGAAAATATGTATAACAACCAGATAATTTCTAGTTTCTATTAGTTTATTTATAAAAATAAAAATGTAGCTCAAAATAGTAATCAAATTTAACCATATATATTACTCTTTTCCTATATTTGTTTCTTAATTTAAAATATAATTCAATGGTATTTTTACATAATTCTGCATTTAATCAAATATTTTTAATTTGAATTTTAAAAAAAATAAATCTTTACTATATATGAAATATTAGACTGAAAATTAAAGATTGTTATATAAAAGATGTTTTGATAGTATAATAATGATATTATTATTTCATATAGTAATTTGTTTTGTATAACAAAAACATATACATATTTTAAATGAATTTATATATTAATAAAATAATATAAAAACAGGAATATATATTTTGAATTACATTTAAGTTAATCTTATACATGAAAAGAGGGGAAGAAAAAAATAAACTTTAATCATGTATTTTAAGTTTAATTTTTTGTTTTTTCCACAAAATTTTATTATTCTAGTAATGCTCATTTTAAATATTTCTATTAATCTAGTTTATATTATATTATATGAATTGAAAAATATATTGAAGAAAAAATAATATTTCATTTGCTTGGAATTATTTAGGTTAAATATATGTATTTGTTTGTTTATTTTTATTTGTCTTCTTAAATATTATAAGATAATTATTAAAGAATTCGGTTAAGATAATCAATAAGATTTAATAGGGTATTAAAATTGACGTATTCTTTAATTGGCGAAAAATTTATCTAGAATAACGAAAATTATTATTTTTACATGAATTTGAACTTTGAAAATTTTTAAGAATATGAAAATTTATTAACATCATTTCGTTCGATTTCAAGAATACAAATTGCAAAGTATCGGATACCGCACAATTATTAGAATAGAAAAAAATGTAAACTTGTAGAAATTATTAATACAATCTACACTCATATTTTGTTATTCGTATCACATCAAAACCCATCACTTTGATTCAAAAATCTTGTAATTTTTTTAAATAAAATTATGTAATTTCAAAATTTGAAATTCTATACTAGAAAACCATAATATCTTGTCATATCAATTGATGTGACTAACACAATATGGGTGCTATTCTCAAAACCTGTCTTTCAGATTCTATTCAAAATTTTAATTTTATTCAAATTATTGTCTTAAATATTAGATTAAAACGGATTTTCGGAATACATTTCGGCTTAAAATTTGAAGACTATACATTTTTAATTCCAAAAAAATTATTTTTAATAATTAAATAATTTCCATATAAATTCTACCATAAAATAAATTCTATTTGAGTGAATAACATTCTATTTTTAAAGATCTTCTTGGATTTTGGACGCAATACTAATAAAAAATGATATTTAAGTTATAATTGTGTAATTTTTTTGCCAGATGATAATGAAAAACCTAATGAAGGAATAATATAAAAAAGTCAACTCTATAATCACATTTAGAATTTCTTTTAAATGTTCATTGGTCTAATAAATTTTACTGATATGAAACCAAAAACCACCCGCATAAAAGTTAGTACAAAAATACGTACATTTTTTATATTTTTTCTTCCATTCTTTTCTCGATAAAGAAAGGTATTTTGTTCATATTAAAAAATGAAGTAAATGAAAAAATAAAGGGTGAAAATATTTCTATAAAGGTGGATGAATTTCATGAAAAACTAAAATTATTTATTTTTAATTGATATTTTAAAATGAAATCGTCCGATCGTCTGGCAATTGTAATAAATTTTACCAAATAAATGATAGATTTAATTATATGGCAGAAATTTAGAGTTTTCCAAGGCTTTTGCAAAGCCTGAATAGCGCTCCTAAATTTGGACAATAAAATAATGCTTCTATTTGATGCAGCTGATATGTTTTGTAAAATAAATGAAATTTAATCTTTGAAGAAAAAATATAATCAACAATAAAATTTTTTGGAAAACAATGTATTTCTTCTATAAAAGGCTCTATTAGTTGTTTCCTAATTAAATTAGTATCTTTTGAACTAAAGAGTTCAGATGGACTGTAAAAAAGGACTATGGTACTCAAATCTCGCCAAAACGGAACACTTTGGTATATGTTAAATGCACCACTGTAGTGCAAGTCCTGCACATCAACTATAAAAATGTTAAAACTTGACAAGTTCTGTAAAATAATTGCAACATTAATTATTCACTCAAATTATTTGTAATTGTCATTTTCTTTCACCTTAAGAATTAAATAAATATTTGCTATTTCAATTACTTAAGTAATATTTTACTAAAATTAAATTATCTTTTAAATTATTGTTGAATTTTCGATTATAAAACTTTTACCAACTTTTATATTTATTCTGTTCTTTTTAAAGAAGTTCTAAATTATATCATTTCTCATTTAGTTTTCAGCCGTTGAAAAAGTGTGTTAACCGGCACGTGCCACATACTTAATAATTAAAAGTATTTAAAAAAAACTTTATTTTATTTATTTTGTATGTAATTAGTTTGAGAATTTAAAAATTTTAAAAGTGTAAAAGAAAAAATTATAATTAAATTATTTAATATTACTAAAACAGCTACTATATGGAAAATAAAAAGATAAATGAAGAGAGCAAAACGATTTCAGAACTTTATTCTTCATCCTTTGAGTATTCTTGTGGTGAAACAATGTCCTCAGTTCAAAGTTTGAACGATGACGACGACGGTAAGTTTAATAGTTATAATACTAGAGAATAAACAGAACGAGTGACAAAGATTATATCATGCGGACTGGTGGATAAAAGTGAAGTTATTTGAAATTTAGAAAATTTACAATTTTTGTCAAAAATTCCAAAATTTTACAAAAGTAAAATTTTTTGGTAAATTCAAAATTTTTGAGTTACAACATAAAATTTTACAAATTACTTATTTATTTTACCATACAGACTCCATTTTAATTAATAAATTAAATATTTGATTAGTATAGTTTTCAGTTTCAGAATATTTCAAGTTTTTTGATTCATAATACTGTGAATTAGAAGTAATTTTTTGTGAGTTTACAACGATATCAATAAATTGCTGTAGTTCAGAAACATGTAGAAACATGTGTATGTATATGAAACGGGCTGAAGAACAAAATGTTAAGGTTTAGCCCGGCATCCTGCACCAAATTCTATTAATATACTATTAATATTACAATATCAAAAACCAGTGATACATGCAAACGTAATATTAACAAATTATTTTGATAGAAGGTTTTTTCAACAAAATTTTGAAAATAAAATTATAAAATGTGTTCTCCATCAACTTTAATATTTTCTGGCATTAAATACATCAAATACATAATTCAATTTTTAATACTTCAAATTCAAAAAATTGTTGATATATATTTGTCACCAGAGTACTCTGACATATAAATATTGTCATATATAATTGTCACCAGAGTATTCTGCCATCACAAATGACATATTGTGAATTATAATATTAAGCTTTGAATTACAGTTTGATATTGAGTGTACATTACGTTTACTGTTATTATAATGGCGGACATATATGTAATATTAAGCTATATATCAGATAATATATAGAATATGTATGTCAGTAATAAAGCCCTTACATTACAGTATTTATATTAAAAACACGCTAACTTAAAATTTCTTTAAAAATCATATTTTTCAAAACATGTTTTTTTTTTACTTTACAGATAAAAATTTTTCAAAAACTACTACTGTTAACACAACAAATCATTCAAAATTAACAGCTAACAGATGTAAGAATGAAAAAAATGAATTATTAAAAAATTATACAAAAGATCGCCATCTATTTATTAGAGTTCGAAATGCACGAGAACGTATGCGTGTTTATGAAATTAATGAAGCTTTTACTAGACTCCGCCAGGTGATACCATATATAGCATATCGTAAAAAAAGAATATCAAAAGTAAAAACATTAACCAAAGCATTACAGTACATTTCTGAATTAGAAAAACAATTGGAAATACAAAAACAAAAATTTGATTTTAAAAAATCAAAAATTTGAATACTAGGAAACGATAAAATTATTTTAACAGATGCCGATGTAACAGGTTTTAATTACATTTTATTTATGAGTATCGTATTTTTTTTCACATAATTAATTTAATTTTAATTTGAATAAAATCCGTGTGTGACAAACAATTATTGTTTGTTTTTTTTTTTTACTCAATACAAAAAATATTTTACTCTTTAAAAATATGGGGCTTTACGAAGTAATTCGATTTTTGGAATACGATTCACATATTCGGAAAATAGTATAGTAGGATGATAATCAATTTGAATTTTTATATTTCAGCAAAATATCAATCTGAATACTGAGTTTGATTATTATTACAGTAAATTAAGTATTAAGATGAATGTGACAGTGATTCAACAACAGTGGTTCAATTCATATAATGCAAATATTTGATATTTTTCTGTTTTAATAGATAATTTCTTTAATTCAAAGGTCAAATGACTTATTTTTAAATTATAAATTCAATTCGTACGTTATCTCTTATGTATCAAATTAAAAATAATCAGACCCCTATAAAAAATACAAATAAATATTTAACAGTTGACAATAAAATAATGATTTTGACAAATCGAAAAATTGGAGTACTAATCATTGCAGCAATTCATAATCTCTACTGAAATTAATTTGTAATCAGTTTACGTTGTCTTAATTTACGAGTATTTAAGTAACTTTTCATAGTTGAAGAGGTAATAGTTGTGACATATTTTTTCATTAGCAAATTATAAAACTATTTATTAATTTAATTGTTATTTGTCTTCTATGGGCACTGACAATCTCGTCTTCTATTAAGTTTCTAGCTATAAGACTAATTACAGTTGAATATATATGAAATTTAATGATATTCTATTCGAAAAGCTCGATTTTTGTCAAAAGGTTAGTTAAGTCTTTTGTCCACTCACTTCTTCAATTATTGTCAACGATTTGATGACATATGGTAAATTCTTAAACGTCAAATATTACAAAATT